GGTCGGTATTTCTGTCAAAGTTTTGCCTTGCTCTGGTGACCTGCTGTGGCAGCTGTGATAATATGTTATAATTGTTTCAAGGCCCCTATCACAACTTCTGATTCATTCTATGTTTTCTTCTTCTGTTGTTCTTTTAACTCATGTTTGACATTTTAGTCAATCAAATCAAATGTGTTTATCCACCATTATCATCAAAACACCAAATGAGGGTGTTTTGATACGTTATATATGTATGGATTATTTTTCTTGTATCATTATTTTAAACATATAAGCCATAGATGTGTAAAAGCTGCAACAGAGGGAATGTGATCCCAAAGGTTTCAACAGAATTCTCACTCAAATCTAATAAACACACACAAAATCCAACATCATCTTCTAAAGAAAGGGTTTTCTTCACCTTCCCAGTAGATTTCACTCCTTTCCAAACACAGAAGTAGCACAGGGTCCACGCCAGTAAGAGACATAAGGCCAGATCCCATCTCAGGCTGCCAATCTCCTCAATCCCGTTAGATATTCCCAGCACTCGTCTCCTGAAAAGAAACACATAATGTTGATGAAACAGGGCCCAGGAAAAACAGTTGTGGAGAACCTTTTTCAAGGCAAATAATAATGTTACGTAAGATAATGAAGTCTATAAATGTGACTGATCAAACAGTGTTGTAACTATATTGCAAAACATTCATATGAAAACAAACAAATGTATTTAGTCATGGGGAAATGGATATAAGTAATAGAGTTGTTTCTGGAAACACTTAAAACAATAGTGATGCAACTTCACCTAAGTGATGCCTTGCAGACATAATATATTAACCCTGTAAAACTGAATGAATGATTTGTTTGATTTTGTGTCACATTTTCAAATCTGGCTGGGGTGTGAATACATTTTTACATTATTTAATTTTCAGCTCAACATGTGACATGAAAGAAAGACGGAAAAGGGTTTTATTGGCTCTGAAGCTGGCCAGCAAGTGTAGAGTGTCAAACAGAGTTTCAAACAGCATCACTCGACCTCATTAATCATGGATTTATTTCTGGAAAAACGTGAAAAACGTATAGCAAAACGTTGTACTCCCTTTGATGTATGCTTTGACATTAATTTAAAAAAAAAGAAATTGTTTTATAGTAAGTCAAAATGGCGTCTTTTTTATCGCCTGAACAACATTCATAGTGCATTGAATGTCCTACATCTTATCTATTTAGAAAGGTTGTCCATGACTTTGCAAAAACAATTCTTCACACTCCTTTCCAAACAAAAAACCCAATGTCGCGCCTGTCTTAACTTAAAAGTAGTTGACACAGTGAAAGAAAAGTTTGTTCTTGAAACATGAAGCAAGACTAAAGCCATGCCAGCCTCTCTGTGATGCTGTACTTTCAGCTTACACAATGTAAACTTACTTTAATGCCAAGACACTTATACGCAAACCACATTTTGACACTCAAAATGTTTCATGTTACCGTGCTTAAATCTGGTAATTAGAAATGAACACAAAGTACAGAAGTGGCTGATGGGAATGTAGTTTTTCTTGTAACAAGTCATCAATTGACTTACAGGATACAATCTAAATAGATATATGAAAAGTTAGGCACCACCGTTTTTAAATCTCATTCTGAGGGCATACACTTCTTATGGACACACTCCTGTGTTTGATTTACAGTCAAATGTTTGTTGACATTTTGACTAACCGCGACACTTAATTTTTAAATAGTACATAGTATGCTCATTTTAAGGTTCACACTTGTATTTTTGGTGCATGTTTACATATACCGTATATATATTTTTCTCATGCTATGTGTCTGAACATACCTGTATTCACCCACTGTCTGAAAGGCTTAGTTTTAGTGCCTGTCTCTTTAAGCCCCCTACTGAGAAGCTCATTACAGCCGGGCAATGAGCACAGCAGTGGCACTTTCTAGATTTTGTGAAGTTGTTACATAACCACTTTGGGGATGTTTGCATTTTCTCAGTAGATTGGGCATGTTTGATACTCTTACAATATTTAGATAGCACCTACGCATGCTTCATTATAAAAAAAATTGAGATTACAATAATTCGGGTCATTTACATGTTGCAGGTTGCCTACGTTGGATGGACGTTTCTAAAAATACGAGGATAACAACAAGTGACCAATGTTTGTAACATGTGACCTGCTATAGACTCTCTTTACAAAAAGAGGAACAACAAAGAAAGACACAGAAACAGCAGGGTGCCAATGCACCTCTGGTTTTTGTGACTCCAATAAAAAGGGATATTAGTTAGTTAAAGACAGTTGAAAATTGAACTTACTCCCAGAATTCTGTTGCAGGCGTTGTTGCGTTTGCTGTCCAATTGGATGATGTGTTTGTTTTACCAAATTCAGCACAGGTCTCTGAGATAAAAACAGGAAAAAATGTAAAAGTGTAGATACATATTTGAAAGCAAAGTGCACAAAATACAAAGTAAACATATATTAGAAATTTGAATAGTGATCAGCTGATCAAGAATGCAAGCAGTTTTCAAGAAATTACCAACATTTCTGTATGCATTTCACATCAAGCTTGTGGGCTTTTTTAAATGCTGTTGAATGAAGATACAAGGTAAAGAAATAGGTACACAAAGACACACGGTTAATTTCTCTCTGCAGGTCTACCTGTGTTCCAGAAGTTCCTGCAGCTTGCCCACGGGACCTCAACGCTGAAGGAGGAGAAGAGGTAGAAGAAAGCCCACGCCTGGATGACAATGTATGACACGGCCGCATATGCAATCACAACCTGGGTAGCATAGCCAATCCCTGAGAAGAAATAAAGAGTGTGGTCAAAGTAGATAATGGATAATTATGGGCAATACAATACAAAATAAAGCAGAGATAACGTCTGAATCCTTAATAATACTCTGGTGGTTGTTGTTCTGTCAGGGTTTTGGTGGTTGGTTATGTTACTTAGATGTATTTGTGTGAGGATAAAAGGTTGAATCTTACACAATAAGTACTGCTAAAAAAAATCTGTTCACTTTTATACACAGACCTTCAAACAAGGGGCAGAAGTGGCGCCAGCAGGTGATACATCCTTGAGATGTGTACTGTCCCATGGCCGTCTCCAGGAGGAACATGGGTATACCACATGAGAGCAGAAACAATACGTATGGAACCAGAAATGCACCTGTAAAAAACATGAAAAACAACTGTTTCCTCTTTGAATCTGATAAAGAGCCACACTACACATGATCATCCCTGTTTTTGTTTATCCTTGTTTTGAAGCTCTGAGACTTTGATATCTTATGAAAGAGAGTGTTTACACAATCAATGTTTTAACAGGAAGAATGTTATTCATGTCTTTTATGGTTTTGTCCTTTCCAGGGAAACATCTGGTAACCACTAGTGGGCCACGTGGGTTCCTATAGTATTTATAACATAAATCTAAGAGGAACTAAAAGAAATCTGACACATATGTGACTTTAAAAGATCCCACACTGCTGTAATGTGGCTGCAAAGTTTAAAGAGGCATAGCAAGACTTTCTAACCAATGACATTTATAATGCCGTTTATTTTATTGGCTATCTTCCAAAAAAGAACACAAACAATGGTCTCCTTGTTGTTGCCGGAGTTGCTTTCAGTTACAGGAAGAAAAAAAGTTACTGACAACAAAAAGCTGCTATATCGCCTGAGCAATTCCTTATCAGCAAAATCTATTTTAACGTCACAGCTCTTTTTCCTCATCCCTTGACATCACTTTGATTGGGTGCAGCAGTTCCACCTTGCGGGAACAGGAAAAGTATGTATAATTTTTGTAGTTTGGAAATCCTGCTTACCTCCCCCATTTTTGTAGCATAGATACGGGAACCTCCAGAGGTTTCCCAGCCCAACAAGGGTCCCTGCTACGGCCAGAAGAAACTCTACCTTGTTTGCCCATTGACCTCGATCCAACAGCTGAGCCTTCTTCAACTGACTGTTATCCTGCATGTCAATGCTGTTTCCTTTGTGCAACTCTCTTGACATGCAAAACAAGTAGGAGATTAAAAGAAATGTCCCTCTTTCCTCCACATTAACAGGAAAAAGGACTGTCAAAGCTGTGTAGCTCTGGGTTATGCAGACACAAACCTACTCAGCTGATTGTTTCCTCATAAACTTTGTTTTTTTATTTGTTGAAGTTAATCTTGTGGGATTATCATGAATGGAAAGTTTTCACAAGCACGTGTTTATCAGAAAGCTGCACTTATCAGAAGACATTTTAGAATTAAAGTGATGCATTTAGCAGCCCAGTGCAAAACAAAAAAAGGTACTTACCCCTCCATCTCAAAGCCCCCTCTCCCAAGAGTTGCTTTCAGCAACAGCAAACTGATCAGTATTCCTCTCAGCTGGGTGCACCACAGGATCTCTACACAAACAACATGTCATGAGCAGAGCCAGAATGAGAAACAATGTAGCTATGGTTTCCTCTGTCCCCTCTATTACCTAATTATCCGTCGGATTGGTCTGCCCACCATGCCGTCTCAAGTGGTTGACAAAAAAAAGTGGTTGGCCCTGACAAAGGTCCAAGGTATACTACTTCCCTGCTGTATTTTTCCACTGAGACAGAGGCAAATGAGTCATCAAAATTAGCAGTTTCTAACAACTAAACCAAAGCAGCTGAGCCTGTTATATTAGTGCAAACAGGCTGCAGTTATGTGTAGCTTGAGCATATAGACCTGGGGTGTCAAACTCAATTTCATCGTGGGCCACATTCGCATAAAGGTTGCACTCAACGGGCCGGTTGTAACCAGTGCTTGAATTGGAATGAAAAAGGTGCCAGTACTCTAAAATCAGCAACTTTTTCAAGTCAATTTTATATATACAGCCCACAAACAAGAATTTGGCTACTATAATGCTGGTGGGTTTGTCTCTTTACTACTGTATATTTTAGAAAGGATCACTGTACTTAACATTTTTTATGATAGGCAGCGGATATGGCTAAAGCTCAGTAAAGTCAATATTAACTGAAAATATAGCAATCAAAGTCTAGATCTTCTGCTGAAGACACATGAAGCAGAGACCTTTCAGGTGAGAGCCCCTCTGGTGGTGTTCAACATTAATGACAAGGAAACAAAGCTCTGGTCAGAAGCATTTTTTATAAAAAGCTTTAACAAAATTAAGTATTTCTGTACATTTTGAATGCAATCTAACTTTCCAACTCAGAAAACGAAAAACGAAAAAGTGCCAAAAGTCTTCTCACATGGCTGAGCTGCTTTGCAATATACTTCACCACTGAAGAATACAAATACGTATAAAGTAAACTATGATGCAATCTAACTTTCCAACTCAGAAAAATGATAAAGAGCATGAACAAAGAACATGTAAAAACAAATGCAAAATTTGCACAATCTAAAATGAGAAACTGTAACTGCAAGTAACAAAGTCTGAGCCATGGTAAAGAGTTACATTGAACACCAAGCTGATCAGATAACTCCCTGGTTGGTCTGAAGTCCTTCTATCTCCAGGATCTGTACAAATCGGCACATTATGCCAAAAGTCTTCTCACTGGGTGAGCTGCTTTGCAATATACTTCACATTGTTAGAAAAGGCTCCAGAAGGCCTTGGGGACATCAGTATCAGGGGCTGGAGCTGGACAGGCTCTTTCATCAGCACTTCTCCTTCCCTTTGCCAGCCAGGACCTCACATACTGTTCCGGATTGAACTGTCCTAGTGATGGTCCATTACATTTAATGAAAACCAGGCTGGACAGTCGGCTGACAGAGAGAGCATTCCTTTTTGCAGTAAGGATATCGTTCATGCAGCTGAATGCCCGCTCACACTCACTAGTGGAGACAGCGATGGTTCGGACTGCTTTCAGTAGAGGCTCCATGGCAGCAGGTGTACGGGATGCCCTGGTTTCCTTGTATTCGCGAAAGCCCTGAACAGTCTCTCTTCTGTCCACTTTCAGCACTTCGCACAAACGTAGCACCTCTACGTCCCCATACTGTACGTCTAACTCCTCTTCAGGCCAACTTCCAGGATGGATAACTTTCATGTCCTGGATTAGCTGATTGTCCCGGGCCTCCCGGCCATGTAATGGGATTTCTCTTGTGCTGACATGAGAGGAGGTTGTGGAAGTCATTCTGTGTCTCAGATTCTCTACCATACTGCGGAAAAACTGACCTGCATGAATCTGTACAAGCCTGCCATTCTCACGCAGGGCAACACCCTTGAAGGACTTCTCAGCTAGAGCTGTATGAACTGTAGTCATGTGTGGGCCAGGCATGGTGACCATGGATTCAAAAACTCGTATTTCTCGAGTTAAGAGCCTATCTGCTGTAGGCAGTGTCATCTCTCTTTTTTGGAGTTGCCGAGAGAGGTCGCTGAGCTCTGTGAGCGCATCGTACATCAGTCCCAGATTGCTGACAAACGTTGCAGATGTGAGCACATCATCCAGGCCCTTGTACTTTGCTCTGTCTCTGGAATCCCTGCTCGTGTCGTTTGCAGCATTTGTGAAGTGATCATGAAGCACTCGGTAGTTTTCCCAGACTGCTCTGACGCTCCTTTCACTTGAAGCCACCCAGCGGATGGACAAAACACGCCCTATCACCAGGAGACGCTGTCCGACTGCTTGCGCACACTGCGCTAACTGCCTCTGATTTTTGGGGGAGGCATGGAACAAGGAATAGAGTTTGTCAAAAAAGATCTGGAAATGATTGAGCCCTGAGACCTCCTTGACCACATCCCCAACTGCCAGCTCTAGACGATGATTGGAGCAGTGCCACACAAACAGGCTTGGGAATTTACTACACAACTGGGTAGCAACGCCTGTTCTCTTCCCTAGCATGACTGAAGCCCCATCACATGCAAAAGAAACGAAACACTGACCTAAAAAGTCCTCGTTAAAATATCTTCCAAGACACTCCATTAACGCCTTTGTGATGTCATCAGCCGTTGTTCCATCCAACTCGATCAGCTCCCAAAAAAACGTTTCGGGCTCAGCATCAGCTAATGCTGAGCGTAGACACACAACAAGCACCGTTTTACCACTAATAGTGGTAGATTCATCGACCAAAACACAGAGTTTTCTTTGGTTTTCTGTAATGTCTTTTGCCATTTTTTTCTTCAGCTCATGAGCTATGTGGTCGATGATTTCGCCACAGGTTTTATTGGAGTGCAAAACCCTGCCCACGTTCAGCCCATTCAGTTTCTGTACATTCAAATCAATTGGCATGTCTGTGAATGGCCGGCTATGTTTGCCAATTTTATATGCCGTTCGAAAAACTCTGATAGTGGTGTGTAATTCAGATTTATGCATAGACTGCACTTGATGTTGAATAGTTTCACGTGAAGCAGATGTAAGGATGTCAGCAGCTTTTACATGGGCTTGCGATTCTTTATGTTCTTTGATTTTTTTTCTCAGGCTAGCTTGTTGTTTGCCCTTGTCAACACCGAAATGAGACACTGCACACTCACCCCATTCAGTTGACAGTTTCAGTCCTTGTCCAGTGTGTATTCCCAAAGATTTGACATCTCTGCATATCCGACATCCTAGCTTCTTATCTTTAAGAAGGAGCCATGCATTGGTCTTGCAAAAATATTGCACCTGGTCCGTTGTCCAGCAGTCAGGTGCATCGCTTTGCCCGGTGTTGGTGGTGGCAGTTGCGCCAGCAGCAGCTAACATTAGAGGCTCTGGAGGAGGCGGCGGAGCTAGTGCTAATGCTAATGCACTAGAACTTGGAGCAGGAGGATCAACCAAAGAAAGCTCCCCATCAGACACAATTTCCAACACAGGCACAGCATTCTCTGTATTTGAAGTTTCTTCCGGCAACAACCGCTGTCTTTTTGCACTTTTATTAATCCACGCTAACATTTTAGAAATGCTAATTTGTGACGTGACTTGCTTTCCTTCTCTCGGGGGCGTGCCTGCTCTGTTCTATCACTCTACATAGCCACCCACTGGGTGGGAGTTGCACTGCATAAACACAACACACGTGCATCTAGGTATGTAAATTGTAAAGCATTAAAACATGGTTTTACTAACAGTTTTCAGTATGTTGTTACTTCGGCATTATTATTATTATTATTTTGAAACGTGTATTACTATTAAATCACGGTCAAATAGGTTAATTTTGACATAGTCGTTTCCACCACAGTATTTACATGGAGAAGATAAGCCCCGCCCCCTCTCCAGCACGTTCTGTTTGAATGACAGGAGTAAACAGCTGACAGCCGCTGTGAAACTCCAGCGGTTAGAGCGATGAGAATGTCCGTTCGGCACCTCATGACGCATCTACTGAGTACCGGGCGGCTGTATATATATATATATGGATGTATAATAAGAACGGCGGGAGAGTGTTGAGTACTGGCACGGTGCATGAGTACCGGAGTACCGCCAGCATGCCGGTACTGAGCAAGAAGTGCCGGTACTCCATGGGTCAGAACCAGAAGTGCCGGTACTGCGTACCGGTGAGTACCGGCCCAATTCCAGCACTGGTTGTAACTATATAAATATATAATATATAAAATAATGTATTATATTACATTATTGCCTCTGAATTGGATTATTATCGGATAGGAACATAGTAATTAACTACGTCTGAAAGCAGAAGTCCAGGGCAAATAATTGCAAGTCTCTTCAGTGCGCATGTCACAAAACGAGATGCATTGTGGGACCTGCTTCTGTAAATCGGCATGTAACCATATAATAAACGTATTATATTCTTTGCAAGCTCTTGCGGGGCCACATAAAATGAAGTCGCGGGCCGGATTTGGCCCCCGGGCCTTGAGTTTGAGACCCCTGATATAGACAAAGAGTTATAGATATTGTTGTTCAGGTCTTTCCCATGCATGGCATCCTATTACTGCTCAGCTTTGAAATGTACATATGCATCTCTTGAACTCCTTCTATATCCTTGCAACATTTGCACATCTTTATTCTCAAATTACTAGGGCAAACTATTATTTATTTAGTTTGAACTGTATTTTTTTTTTTAATATTACTTATTAACATTATTCCTATTTTTTGTTTTATGTTATTGACTTATTTGTAGTTTTTATAGTCATCCACTTTACTGTACTTCTCTTTCTACTGTACCACCTTGGCATCAATAAAGCTTCCCTTATCTCAGCATTATAAATTACATCCAAAATAAAGACTGCGCTGTTGCGATAAGACTTTTTAACACTTTTACAGCAGTTGATTATAGGGAGACAGTAATGTGTTGCATTTAAACAAAGACAATAAATGGATGGATTTCATTTTTTGTTTGTTTTTACAATATACTGCATATGTTATCCAGTTTAAACATTTAAGCTAAAGTTACTCTTTGTGGATGGATCAATCAATCAATCAATCAATGTTTATTTATATAGCCCAATATCACAAATGTTACATTTGTCTCAGTGGACTTTACAGTTTGTACAAAATATCAGTATGACAATACGACACCCTCTGTCCTTAGACCCTCACATCGTACAAGGAAAAAATTCCGAAGAAAACCCACAGTTTAAAGGGAAAAATGGGAGAAACCTCAGGGAGAGCAACAGAGGAGGGATCCCTCTCCCAGGACGGACAGACGTGCAATAGATGCCGTGTGTAAATTGAAAAGATAATACATTTGCAACATAGGTAGTCCAAATGTTTGGAAATGCATGTGTGTATAATAGGAAGATGAATCCACGAGGATATCCATCCAGGACCTATGATCCAGGACCACAGCCACGACTCAAGATCCAGGGCTCGCGATCCAGGACAGAGGAGCGCAGGATCATCCATGACTCCGGATCCCGGCGTATATAGACACCAAAAAGAAAGAAATTTGGGGAAGCTGGGTTAATCGGAACATGAGAGTACACAAGTATAGACAGAGAGAAGGAAGAAGTAAGATGTCCCCCGACAAACTAAGCCTATATCAGCAAAACTAGGGGCTGAATCTAATCAGCCCTAACTATAAGCTTTATCAAAAAGGAAGGTCTTAAGCGCACTCTTAAAAACGGATAGGGTGTCTGCCGCCCTAACACAAACTGGAAGCTGATTCCACAAATGTGGAGCTTGATAAGAAAAGGCTCTGGCTCCCAATGTACTTTTAGAGACTCTAGGAACAACCAACAACCCTGCATTCTTGGAACGCAATGACCTAGTAGGACAGTAGGGTATAATGAGTTCTTTAAGGTAAGATGGCGCATGCCCATTAAGGGCTTTGTAGGCGAGAAGAAGAATTTTAAATTCTATCCTGTGTTCTATAGGGAGCCAGTGTAAGGCAGCCAGAACAGGAGTAATGTGGTCCCTTTTCCTAACTCTGGTTAGTACACGAGCTGCGGCATTTTGAATCAGCTGAAGCGACTTGACTGACTTCTTGGTACACCCTGATAATAAAGAGTTACAATAATCCAGCCTTGAAGTAACAAATGCATGGACTAGTTTCTCTGCATCGTTTTGAGGCAAGATATGCCTGATTTTTGCAATGTTACGTAGATGGAAGTAGGCGGTCCTTGAAATTGATTTTATGTGGGCGTTAAAGGATAAATCCTGATCAAATATAACACCAAGATTCCTTACAGTCTCACTGGAGGCCAAATTAATGCCATCCATAGTTAATATATCCTTAGATAATTTGTTTCGTAGATTCTTCGGGCCAAGTACAATAACTTCAGTTTTGGTCGTGTTTAACATCAAAAAGTTTAAGGTCATCCACGTTTTTAAGTCCTTAAGGCAGTCTTGAATTGTATTTAGATGATTAATTTCATTAGGCTTGATTGATAAATATAGTTGAGTATCATCCGCATAACAATGAAAATGTACAGAATGATTCCTTATAATATTGCCTAACGGAAGCATATATAATGTGAACAAAATAGGTCCGAGCACTGAGCCCTGTGGCACTCCATGGCTAACTTTGGTTTGCGTGGAAGATTCATCATTGACACGTACAAACTGAGAGCGTTCAGATAGATAGGACCTAAACCAGTCTAAAGCAGTTCCCTGTATGCCAACTAAGTGCTCTAGTCTTTGCAATAGGATATCATGGTCGATAGTATCAAATGCAGCACTGAGATCGAGCAAAACAAGAATAGAGACACGTCCCTTGTCAGAGGCTATTAGAATGTCATTTGTGACTTTAACCAGAGCTGTCTCTGTGCTATGATGTGTTCTAAAGCCAGACTGAAAATCTTCAAATAAATCATTGTTTTTTAAGTAATCACACAACTGTTTTGCGACCGCTTTCTCAAGAATTTTTGAGAGGAACGGAAGATTGGAAATAGGTCTATAATTGGCTAAAACCTCTGGATCGAGGTTGTGCTTTTTAAGAAGCGGTTTTATCACTGCTACTTTGAATGATTGTGGAACATAGCCTGATAATAAAGACATATTCATAATATTTAATAAATAAGTGCTAATTAATGGAAAAACTTCCTTCAACAGCTTAGTTGGAATTGGGTCTAACATACACGTTGATGGTTTAGAAGAGAGAATCATTAAATTTAATTGTTCAAGGTTTATGGCTGAAAAGCATTCTAGTTTACTATCTAGTGTAATATTAGAACTTACGTTTCCGGGAGCTGTTGATAACACTATACTGGTCAAAGGCAAGAGGTCATTAATTTTGTTTCTAAGAGTAACAATTTTATCATTAAAAAAGCACATAAAATCATTACTACTGAGTGCTATGGGAATAGAAGGCTCAATCGAGCTGTGGCTCTCTGTCAGCCTGGCTACAGTGCTGAAAAGAAATCTTGCATTATTCTTATTCTCATCTATTAATGAAGAGTAGTAGGCTGCTCTCGCTTTACGCAGTGCTTTCTTATATTCGTTGAGAGTAATATGCCAAATTAAACGAGATTCTTCAAGTTTAGTGGAACGCCATATCCTTTCAAGTTGTCTCGACTTTTGCTTTATTTTGCGGGTTTCGGCATTATGCCATGGAGCTAATCTATGTTGTTTTATTTTCTTCTTTTTCAAAGGAGCAACAGAGTCTAATTTTATTCGCAGCGCATCTGTAGCACTATCAACAACATGATCAATTTGGGGTGGTGTACATTTTGTATAAGTTTCCTCCCTTACATGCAGACATGCTATCGAGTTAAGTATTGGTGGAATCTCTTCCTTAAATTTGGCTATAGCACTAACAGATAGGTTTCTGCTGCAGGAGCTTTTGACTAATGCTTTGTAGTCTCGTAACAGTACTTCAAAAGTTACTAAGAAATGGTCGGATAAAGCAGGATTATGCGGTTCGACTAATAGTTGCTCAATTTCAATACCATAAGTCAGAACAAGGTCGAGAGTGTGATTATAGCAGTGGGTTGGTTTATTTACACTCTGACAAAACCAACAGAATCTAATATAGAGTTAAATGCAACATTAAGGCTATTTTTATCATCGTCAACATGAATATTAAAGTCACCTACGATAATTACTTTATCTGTTTTAAGTACCAAAGTTGATAAAAACTCAGAGAATTCAGATAAGAATTCTGAATAAGGACCTGGTGCACGGTACACTGTAACAAATAAGATTGGCTGCAAAGTTTTCCAGGTCGGACGCGTAAGACTAAAAACGAGACTTTCAAAGGAGGTATAATTTAATTTTGGTTTAGTATTGATAAGTAAACTTGAGTCAAAGATTGCTGCAACTCCACCTCCTCGGCCCGTGCCTCGGGCAATATGAGTATTGATATGGCTGGGTGGAGTGGCCTCATTTATGCTGACATATTCTTCATGTCTCAACCAAGTTTCAGTGAGACAGCATATATCAATATTATAATCTGATATTAAATCATTTACCAATATTGCTTTAGATGCTAGAGATCTTATGTTTAAGAGACCACATTTAATATTCCTGTTTTGTTGCACTGTAGTAGTTGTTACATTTACTTTTATTAGGTTATTATGTATGACACCTCTATTAGGTTTTACCTTAACTTGTCCTTGGGCAGACACACACACCGCTAATTTGTTTTTACATGATTACATCCACTTTGATTATAAGTAGTATATTCTGGGCAGGTTGTTGAGCTAGACAGCTGTAGACACTACTTTGAAAAGTGTTCACACAGTAACATAACTCCTCTCCTCAGGGTACAGTTATCCATCACAAAGCACTTTGTCTCAGAGGCTGGAGGATGATTGACTGACCACAACGGTGTGGGTATGACACACATCTAAACAGGTCACATCTGTCTTCAATGTTTCTTGAGATATTAATAAATACACCAGAGCAAACAAAGTGTTTCCGCTCTAAGTGATCAGGTTTGATCAGCCCAGAATGGACTGGTGTTCGTATATCTGTGTTGAACTGACCTGTGTGTTAAAGGATTAATAGTCTTGTTAAACAGCCTGTTCTGGTATATTCTACAAAAATATTTTACAAATACCTTAACAAAATAGCTTGTAAACCTTGTAATACATGTTACTGAAGAGGTGCATGATCCTGGAGGGGAAACCTTGGTTTTACTCAAATGCATCTATTGATTCTTTGAGGTTTGACCTAATGAACAAAATAGACACTGTTTAGTGCGCAATAAGATATTTTCATAGCTTCATTTTAATATTAGAATTACATTTACTTTTACATTTTGGACAAATCCACACTATAATTCAGGGTAAAATTCACCAAATGTCAGGCTCGCTTTGTTTTGGGACAGGGTGGGATGAAGAGTCAGATAACATATCTGTGAGGAATGATTCAAGAATGAAAATGATCCAAATGTTTCTTTTTGACACTCCAACAAATGAAGCAAATGTTTTATATTCACTGCATAATCATTTATAAGCAATGGGTAGAACCACAGAAACATACAACAAAAATGTTGGCGACAAAATAAAAAATGTTTCCCTCTTTCAGCAAAAATATTTAGCAAGATTCTACTTTCAGCTGTGCATTCGTATCACAAAAAGACTCTACAACAGCAGCGAGACTCGCATCCTCAAGGTCCATGTTTTTATCATGCTTGAGCATATTTGGCACTCAATTTGAAAATTGATATAATAGTCACAAAGATAGGCCAATGCAGACTGTATGCAAATGCACAAGCATGTACAGCTCAGACCTGTACATATGCATCACCCTCTGGTGGTGATCACATCCTCATACCAGACAAAAACAAACAAGATTTAAAAAAAACATATAATAATAAAGAGATATTACAGTTTTCTGCTACTTTCAGTATTTTAACAGAGATATATCTCAAAGCATGGGCAGGAAGTTGAGGTTTTACAATGTCACTAATAATGTTCTGTATTAAGAGAAGAAGATGGAGATGATAATGATGATGCTGATGAAGATGATGTGTTGCACTATGGTGCAAACCGAGTTGCTGGCCTTTGTTTCTGTTCTTACCATATTTTTGTCATCTGATTTATGCAAAACATTTGGAATTGTTACAAATCAGAAAAAAAAGATCTGAAAGGAATTTTATTTTCACATACTTCAGCACTGAGAAGGCAGCTGATGAGGAATCATGCTGTGCACCACAGCCACGTGACTTTATAATGAAAAACACACTGTATCACTCATCATTTATGTTATTTGCTACAGGACAAAGTGACTTAACACCTTTTCAGTCACACTGAGTTTGGCTTTTTTCACTGTATCCCCTAAACCGATTGTACCAAAGACCTTGACGCATGTAATCTCAAAAAATGAGAACTCATTGATTTTTTTTGCTAAAAACCCTTAAGGAATAGATTAACATTTTTCTCCATCTTGCAAAGACGAATGATAACACTGACATTTGGAATCAATGAAATAAAAAATGTTGTAAAGAATTCGATGTAGAGGTAGGTCTTGATAAATATTTGATCAGTATTGATATAATAAGTATGTGTAAGCCTTATTGTTGATTTAATCATTTGCTTATAGAGGAAAAACCTTTCTACCAAGACTGTCTCTTCTTTCTGTTAGCAGCGTGTTTCCTGCTGAGGAATTCTTAACGGTGACATTTCCATGTGAATGTGTACTTGGGGTGACAGAGTATAAAACCAGATATAACATGATTTACGAAAAAGTCTTGCGAGACTGGCTGGCCAATGACCACAAGGTGCGCAATTCGAGGGTTAACACCCACCCTGACTTTTCTCCTGATTCCTGTCTTTAAGTTATCCCTCTGTGAGCTGAGCCCTATATTTAGCAAAGAAACATGAGTGACATTGATTTTATCTAATGCATCAAGAAAGCATGTTTCCGAAAATGTGCAAACATTCATCTAAACTGACATTTTGAAAATACAGTATGGTGTAAAACAATCAGGTGTTGGCACTTCTTTTCCAATACAATTTAAAGTATGAAATATAGCTTGAAGCGTAAAACTACTTTGACTGAAGACTCTATTGGATTTGTCAATCTGGAAACGTTCAACAAGCGGTGTTTTGTTCTTTTAAACAGGCCGCACTCACAACCGTTTTTCGAGCTTGAATATGAAAGGCACAGTGAGACATTTCTTGATATGGACTACATGGCTTCATGTTTGTACAGTAGACACAGAGCAAGCCCTTGTGTTCAGCAACCCATTCCATAAATTCAGTTTGAGGAACATAATGACAGGAGTTGCTATCTCTACTTGTTGCTACTTGACCTGCCATGATTAACGCATGATTAATTAATCTCAGAGAAAGCCGTGTGAATAACTCCCATCAATAATAATGAGATGGGAGCGCACTTGATTTGAACTCAAGTGAAATGTCACATTTCTTTGAAAAACAATTATTTAACTATATATTTTTGATTACTTTCAGTAAACATAGGAATGTGTTAATGATGCTGTGATCACTGTTAACATGTTTGGGACGTGGTGAGGCTACTGCGTTATAACAAAGATAGTTAGCACATTTCAACATGGAATTTCTATAAAAGACCATAAAACTACATGTAACAATATTCTGAGAAACTAGATGAAACACTTTCATATTCTTGTATGAAAAATTGCCACTGATTTCAAAGGTTTAATACAATAAAATGTAATTGGATGGCACTGTTAGTGTGAGTTTAAGCAAACACAGTGTCAGACAATCAAAGAAAAAAAACAAGCATCTTTTTTTTTTTTACTTTCAAAGATGAAATTAAACGTAAAAGTAAACATCATACCTGAAAAAAAATAAGACTGCTGACTCACAGAAGAACAGGCGATTAAATACATAAAGCCCACAGTTTTATAGACTACTATTTAAATGCCACACTTTACACATTGGTCTGATTTGAAATCCACAAAAAAATAATTCACGTATTATTGCAAAAATGTAAACATCCTTCGAATGTATAATGACAATATCTCTGCAAATACAGTCATACATCTCTGCTTGAAAAAGGGCTTTTTCTTATTATAAGAGGCTTATTTCTTTAAATGTCATTTTAAAGTATGATGATCAAACCAAAATACAAACGATCAACCTTTGATTTGGGGTTATTTAAAGCTTCTGTGGGGAAGTGTCACATTGTTGTTGCCATTAAACAAGAAAGGCTAAAATAAGTCAATACTCAATTTAGTTTTTTCGCTTGTCAATTATATTTAACATTCTTGTCAATAAAATATTTTGTGATTTTGGATTGTTTGTCAGACAAAACAAGCAATATCAAAGACATCACCTTGGGTTTAGGACCCAACATTTAACCAATAAATCCACAAAGAAATTACGAGGCTATTAATTAGCACATGAACATATTTGTAATATATTGGTTTGGAAACCATCAAGCACAAACACCTGCTGGCTGCATCTTATTTATGAAGATTTCATACATTAGAAATGTACTATCTTTAGATCAGGAAACTGCTGTGCATTATGGGACATGTGATTGACTGAAAAAGTCAACTGAGATTTTAACTTTTATACCGCAAGTAGTTTTTCTAAATAAATTATCGATCAGAAGCAAGAAATCCTCTTTGATTTGCACCTGATGTAACACAGAAACCATAAAACCCTCCTTATCAGAAGTTGAGGATTTGTATTTGCGTCAACAATCTCTGCAAACTACAGCTTAATGCCACAATCTGAAAATCTAGAACATTTGGCCTTCCTCCGTCAGCTGAAAGTATCCCCTTGATATGAGCACTCGACAAAAAGATGACAGCATCAGTGCGCCTGAGCCCCTCCACTGCCACACAGCCAGTGTCAAGAAAACAATTGACAAAATTAAATATTGGCCAAAAGAAACATTCTCTGAAATGGTACATTAGATTTTTCTTCTGCTCAGAAGACAACAATGCTACCCCTATTAGCTATTAAACAACATGGTAAAAGATCTGACATCGCATAGGTTCAAACACACAAGCTTTCATTTTGACGAGTCGCTGTAGCTTAAACAGGCTACTGTTAGTATGTACATGTAGCAGCATAAAACCACCCTGGCTGTGATTATCAGACTACAAGATTTCCATTCTTATATCTCACTCCCAAATGGCTGTCGATGTGGATGAGGTGGAATGTGCAGGTTTTGTAGTTTGAATTTATCCTTTAAAGTTGGATTTCTTTCTTCTTCTTTTTTTTAAGTGTGTCTCCCGACCTCTATAACCTCATCATGCCTCTGTTATTGTTTTCTATAAATCCTAATGGCACAATTGATTTTATTTATCATACAGTTTGAAAATAAGTTTTGGCACTTAAAATATAAATAGTCTTCCTTTTTCTTTTATATATAATTAAGCACAGTTATTACAGCAATACACCAGAGCCCAGTGATAATTTGAGGTGAAACTTTGGTCTCTGTTTTACCAACTGGATTACAAAACGCTGGTCGTCACATGGATAACAAAATTATTACAATTGGAAATAAAAGAATGAATAAATAAATAAATATCTGACTATGGTTGATAAATAGCCTCACAAAAATGTTCACTGTAGACTTGATAACTCTTTAAAAAAAACACACACCTGATAACTGACAAATTATAGATTCAGCTCTTTTTATGTGAGGTTACAGCTTAATGCCACTATTTGAGGTTGTTGATGTCTCCATCAAAACACGTAAATAAATCCCATCTACGATGCTGACTAAGAATGTCCATGAAATATTTGGCCCCCTGCTTTTGGTAAAAAGGACACGATCGTTTTAGTGGCCAAGGGTCAAAAGTGCAACGTGACAAGCGTAAACCATGTGGACCCCCTGCAGGTCTGGGATGATGTGCGGGGGGGGGGGTGATCGAAGATGATATGCTACCTTTTTATTTGCTGCATGTGAATAGGAGGGAGCCAAAGCTCGTTTAATCCATGTGTGCTACTTTTACCATAGTTTAGAATAATTCTGCAAATATCACCATCTCTTTTGTCCATTTAATCCAGTTTTTCTTGGACTGGACACATCCATTCCTTAAAATATGATAAAATACAATTCCATAGGATTGTGTGCAAAATGCTCTTTAGGCATATAGTATCAAATAATGGTCTCTTCTACTAGTCACAATGTAAGACTTAGATGCTTGTGATGAGGTATGAATATTGGCCAGTACCTTGGAGGAACCATTACCCTTCCTTCATGCCAACAACTACTATTCTTCTTCTGTGAAAATAATTAAATGAGTGACTCATCATATTTAAGTAAAAACCACATGGATGTATAATACTTAAATGATATAAACACTAATGTGTGTGAGTGGAGATGGGTTAATGAATTTCAATTTGCTAAAACAATATGGCAATGACTGCTTCCGCTGAAAACAGAGATCTCTGCTTTAAGTCATAGCCAAGCACAAAATCATATTTATATTTATGATTTTATGCTTATGTATAAATATCCAGCAAACCGTATTTGCAGTCAAAACTGCCAATTTCTTGAGAGAGCTTCACACCACATATCTAATAAATAACACAGAATAAAATGGCAAATTCTCCTCAGAGATTTCTCATTTCCTTTTATATTCACAGAAGTTTCTAATTAGGTACCTGTACTGTATTAGTCAGCCCGACAGTTGAATGGATGGATGACAGTGAAGGGTCCAGTGTGCTAAGATGAGGATAAGCCTTCATCTGTCTTCGTCGCTCCTCTTCAGTTTGAACACCGTTTACAGAGGCAGGTCTGTGCTGTTGTGGCGAGTCTTTCTGGAAGTCCCATCATCCCTGGGCAGAGCTTTCTGCAGGTTGGACATAGCAGCGGTCTTCTTTAGGTCAATGACTGCGTAGCATTCACTGCGCCGGGGTGCCTGTGGGCCACATTTTTTGGGTGGTAGGCGCTGGTGCTGTGGCTGTGGCTGTGGCTGTGGCTGTGGCTGGGCACCCCCACTGCTGAGGGCTTGGCAGGGAGGTTCTCCCTCTAGGTCCACCTGGATGTAATTCAATTGCCGCGATGGAGGCATGTGGCCGTGCTCACAGCCTCCAACCCCTGACCTTGACCGTCCGCGGAAATCAAAGCTAAATATTCGCCCCCCTCTGTCTGGCTGACACGACCGCGGATGCGGGGGGCAAGCGTGTCGAAGCCGGGGCGGCTGGACCTGCTCTGTGTTGACGTAGTTCTGCAGGGCGTCTCTATGGATGCCACGACCATCCTGGTGGTACCCATTGGGTGTCCCAGGGCCTTCTGAGAACTCATACTCATCAAAGTCTTCCTCTTCCTCCTCGTATTCCTCCTCATCCTGCTCATCATCTTCCTCTTCCTGTTCATCATCCCGTTGCAGAGCTCTGTACTCCCACACCGGTGGTAGAGAGGGAAGGTTCTCGTAGTTGAGCAGAGCTGTCCGACGATGACCTCCGCCCATGCCCCTCTCACAGGGGTATCCCTGGGGGGGCAGTGACGAGGGGCCGAGGGCGTGTGGGTGCAGGAGGGAGTGGGTGTGACTGTCCCCGGTGCTGCTGCTGCTGCTCGAACCCACAGACTGCGACACGCTGCTGGGACTCAGCCGCTGCTTCCGGACGCTCCTCAGCCCGTTGATGTTCTCGTAGGTGAGCTCGCCGCTCTGGCAGCTGTCCGTGTGCTCCAGGCCCGGGTGCCGGTGTGTGTGGTGATGGAAATGGGGATAGGAGTGAGAGTTGCACATGTGCATGGTGGGCTCGTCTCCCTCCGTCTCTGAGCCTGTGGCACCCTCTGCTGGCTGAAGGCTGTGAGGATTGTGGCCATGCCTGTCCCTCTCTCTGTCCCTCTCTCTGTCCCTCTCTCTCTCCAGCAAATGACGCTGAGCCGGAGTAGGGCCCAGCATGAATTTGACCTCCTGCGAAGATGGCTGTAAGAACACCTGAGGGTCATTATGCTCCTCCAGGGGACAGCACCGCAGGTTGGGCTGCGGATTTCCTTGCACCCCGACAGGCATGGCTCCTCGGGGTGTTTCAGGGAAAGGGTTCGGTCGCACCTCGGGCAGAGAGTGCACACAGTGATGCATAGAGAGATCCCCCTCCATACTAACAGTATTTACATAGGTGTGGGTCTATTGAGGGAAATACAAACAGTAGTAAGTAAAGTTGTGAACTACCACAAATGCAGTGAACCTTAGGTAACAAGAAGAGGCCTTACCTGGTCTTCCAAACCCATGAGACCATTTCCGTGGTCGTCAGCAAGAGAGGGTTGGGAGGATTCCCCTCTGATTGGATAACCAGGGTATCCATTAGGAAAAGCCTGAACAGGGAACGCTGGAGCTAAAAAGTATTAGCATAAGTAAGTATAGCTTAATTTATGTAAGACTTCAATCAATTAATTAAGTAAAAATACAACATAAAACACAGAACAATGAGACAAACCAAACAAGAACAAATAAAAACATTAAACAGGGATGAGATCTGAAAAAGACCTGTCTATAAAGACTGGTTTTAGAAGACACAGAGGGTCTAAAGCAGTGGTTGTCAAACTTTTTCTGTCAGGCACCCCCTTTGGAGAAAAAAAAAAGTCGGCCCCCCCAACACAAATAGTCACGTAATGGGCCAAGTTAACATTTATTAAAATACATCAATATGAACGTGCGCATTCCGTTGCTAGAACAGTGATAATAAAACAATGCTCCATAAGTCTGTGTGGTCAAAAAATACATAATACAATTGTGCAATCTCTTTGCTAGAACAATAAGTTATAATACTTTGCAATCTGTGCAAAAAAATGAAAAGAAAGAAAATGCTGATATTTGGCAAATAAGTGTGTCTTATCACAGCATTAGTGGCAGCAATGAGCCTGTTTTGCACTGCACATTTCTTCAAAACGGAGTTGCAGGCTCAGTGGCGGTGCCAGAGATTTATTTTGGGGGTGCTGTGGGGTAGCTTGACGTTGAGTTGAGTTTTGTATAACTATAATGATCATATAAACGTGTGCCTCGGAAATAATTGTTTACATTAATCGTGACTAAAACGTTTGAGACCCGGCCATTAGCTCGCTAGCACCAGAAGCTAACAACAACGATTTCCGGTACCGGTGCGCTCTCTTTCTCGCTCGCGCACGCAAACAAAATGGCTCGCTACACACAGAGCCGAGCTTGAATGAAACAGAGACCCAGACGTACTTGTACTGTACTGTATCATATTATTTTTTCGAATCAATAATCTTTCAAATTAGTCTGAAGCAGCCCCCCACTTTGAGAAACACTGGTCTAAAGCAACACAGAAGCAGGGGATGGATAAAAGGCCAATATATGAGGATCAAGAGGCAGACAGAGTTACAAGGAGAACAGAAATGTATCTTGGAGCAAGATCATTTACTGCCTTATATGTAATGAACAGGATCTCAGAGTTAATTTTGAATTTCCAGGAAGCCAGTGGAAGGATGCAAAAACAGACGGCTTGTTCTTGTTAAAAACCTGGCAGCTGCATTTTGATTTAGAGCAGCTTGACTTACGCACATGTAGAGTGAATAACAATAACATAGATGGGAGAAAACCAAAGTGTGAATTCTTTCAGAGAAGATTTTCATCAGCTGCTATATGTTTTGCAATCCACCAGATGTCACTCTGTTTGCTGCATTTGAAGCCCTTAAGCTTCTAATCTCTTGCTGTACAAACAGAAAGAAAGTTCAGTGTTTTTCCAAAGCACTTGTGGACTAGAGGAGCTGGGGATCAAACCACCATCCCTAATAATATTCTCTACCTCCTGTGCCACAGCCGCTGGATACAATTCTACTTTTAAACAGGTAAGCTATAGGATCAAAAGAATCTCAAAATGAAACATTTTTACCCACACAGGGGTCCAAGACCTTCTTGAACTTTAAATGAAAAGACTTTCTAAGCCAAATCTTCTCAAATAGTAACATTTATTTTGACAGCAATCAAGGGGAATAACAGTTACAACACTGAAAAACAGTGGCACAGAGAAATAAATAACACAAATGAAATGTCCATTTTTTAAAACTTTTAACAGTCAAGGATTGTTGCAAAGGATTGTGCATGGTTCCCCATGGGAATACAACCTTCCAGAAGATATAATAGACATAGCTGCAACTTCCAAGCACGAACAGGCCATTTGAAGCGCCCATGGCCGTTTCTGCTTTACTTGGTGCTTAAGAAAACTTTTATTCCTGTGACTCAGTATATTTTGTTTGGCTGTGTTGATGAACAATTTTAAAAATTCTGCTAAATTGCTGCATTGCATGCATTACCTACAATTAATCTCAAGTTTATAATTAGCTTTTCTTGTTACTCGTGCATGTGTGTGTATGTGGGGTGTGTGTGTGTGTGTGTGTGTGTGTGTGTGTGTGTGTGTGTGTGTGTGTGTGTGTGTGTGTGTGTGTGTGTGTGTGTGTGTGTGTGTGTGTGTGTGTGACTCACTGTTGGGAGTCTGTGGTGTGCGAGACATTTCCATCTCTGGTGTGTGACCGCTGCGACTCATCATCATCGACTCTTCCACCACGTTGATGCTGTTACATTGCATCAGCTCCTGAAGTAGATTGAAGATCTCTTCTGCCCGGGAACACTTGAATGCAAATATTCCTAAAAGAAAACGGGATAAACGAGAGCATTGGTAGGTTGCACTTGACCACCAGTAACATTGAAAAAGACACGGGAAGCTATGGCTAAAGGATAGATGTTATAATAGTTCAAATAATGTCCTTAATGCTGATAACACACCATATTTGCTTTGTGTTTAGAGAGTTACAGTGGGGCAAAAAAGTATTTAGTCAGCCACCAATTGTGCAAGTTCTCCCACTTAAAAAGATGAGAGGCCTGTAATTTTCATCCTGGGTACACTTCAACTATGAGAGACAGAATGGGGGGAAAGAATCCAGGAAATCACATTGTAGGATTTTTAATGAATGAATTGGTAAATTCCTCGGTAAAATAAGTATTTGGTCACCTACAAACAAACAAGATTTCTGGCTCTCACAGACCTGTAACTTCTTCTTTAAGAACCTCCTCTGTCCTCCACTTGTTAACTGTATTAATGGCACCTGTTTGAACTTGTTATCAGTATAAAAGACACCTGTCCACAACCTCAAACAGTCACACTCCAAACTCCACTATGGCCAAGACCAAAGAGCTGTCAAAGGACACCAGAAACAAAATTGTGGACCTGCACTAGGCTGGGAAGACTGAATCTGCAATAGGTAAGCAGCTTGGTATGAAGAAATCAACTGTGGGAGCAATTATTAGAAAATGGAAGACATACAAGACCACTGATAATCTCCCTCGATCTGGGGCTCCACGCAAGATCTCACCCCGTGGGGTCAAAATGATCACAAGAACGGTGAGCAAAAATCCCAGAACCACACGGGGGGACCTAGTCAATGACCTGCAGAGAGCTGGGACCAAAGTAACAAAGGCTACCATCAGTAACACACTACGCCGCCAGGGACTCAAATCCTGCCAGTACATGTCTAGGCCCGTCTGAAGTTTGCTAGAGAGCATTTAGATGATCCAGAAGAGGACTGGGAGAATGTCATATGGTCAGATGAAACCAAAATAGAACTTTTTGGTAAAAACTCAACTAGACGTGTTTGGAGGAGAAAGAATGCTGAGTTGCATCCAAAGAACACCATACCTACTGTGAAACATGGGGGTGGAAACATCATGCTTTGGGGCTGTTTTTCTGCAAAGGGACCAGGACGACTGATCCGTGTAAAGGAAAGAATGAATGGGGCCATGTATCGTGAGATTTTGAGTGACAACCTCCTTCCATCAGCAAGGGCATTGAAGATGAAACGTGGCTGGGTCTTTCAGCATGACAATGATCCCAAACACACCGCCCGGGCAATGAAGGAGTGGCTTCGTAAGAAGCATTTCAAGGTCCTGGAGTGGCCTAGCCAGTCTCCAGATCTCAACCCCATAGAAAATCTTTGGAGGGAGTTGAAAGTCTGTGTTGCCCAGCGACAGCCCCAAAACATCACTGCTCTTGAGGAGATCTGCATGGAGGAATGGGCCAAAATACCAGCAACAGTGTGTGAAAACCTTGTGAAGACTTGAAAACGTTTGACCTCTGTCATTGCCAACAAAGGGTATATAACAAAGTATTGAGATGAACTTTTGTTATTGACCAAATACTTATTTTCCACCATAATTTGCAAATAAATTCTTTAAAAATCAGACAATGTGATATTCTGGATTTTTTTCCTCATTTTGTCTCTCATAGTTGAAGTGTACCTAGGATGAAAATTACAGGCCTCTCTCATCTTTTTAAGTGGGAGAACTTGCACAATTGGTGGCTGACTAAATACTTTTTTGCCCCACTGTATGTTAGGGCATTATACCCTAGAAAACAACATTCCTGTTGTGTCATTTAACATCTTAAATGAACATTATGTTATTTTCAGCAGCTAGCGGTCTCTCAATGAAAACAATAACAAAAGGATTTCTGTGGTGTGGTGGAGTAGCGTGGGATCATGAAATATTTGCAGAGAACTCCTCCTTGTTAGAAATCAATTGTACATGTTAAAAATCTGAATTTTTACAACTCTGTTAAGCTGTTGTGACCGTTTGCTCAGCTTGTTTCTCCAAAATCCTTTTCCTCTGTTAATTATATATCTGAAGCTGAAGACCTGCTGGCAGACAACCACAACACTACTGCATGTGCAAATGATATGCACTGTTACCTTAATTAATAAGAATTATCTACAAAGATATCAACAGACAAGCAGAGAAACAGTTGCTTACCCTGCCCAGTCTGACAGCGACGACCGCTCTCGAAAGAAAAGAGGTTGGAGTCGTAGCCGTAGCGGCGCAGGCAGAGATATGGCCACCGGATGGCGTCTCTTTTACGTGTGTGGAGAATGAGTTCTGTCTGGGTGAGCTCCATGATCCCAGATCCCAGCTCATTGCCCTCATCGTCCACATTAGTGACCTAGGACAGGGAAAGGGAATATAACATAGATCATAAGAGATTGTAAATGCAGATCATTGCATTACTATGTAAATTACAATGGGTATATTGATCTGGATTGATTAACGATGCAATATCATTGACACAAAGTGAAAACATCAATACATCTCATTATCTTTGAGATACACCTTTATTTTTAAAAGGTCCATGGCACGTCTGTGTCACCATTTCTGCCCAAACTCGTTTCCTACCTAAACATTCAAACAGTGTTAGCATCCAAGCACTAGCCAGATAATGAACAGCAGCCGTGAAAAAGACAAGGAGGATGTGTACTCCCCTCTTGGAGATAAATTAGCGGTGTGAAAACAATTGGGATTTCAGGGAAAGGGCAGCAAAGTACATGCCATATGCCAAAAATTGCCCTGTGAGATAAAATACTTAGGAACCATGACTAACCTGACCATTAAGATACAAAAGAAACATCTGTGCTTGAGTTATATAAACAGTTGTACTTAAACATTAGAAACGGTGGCAGTTTATATTAAACAACAAGGTGTCATTTTTATTCTCTTTGTTAAAAGGTAGATAGGTAGGTAACTTTCAGACCAACTTGTAGTTTGATAGCAGGCCCTTGAAATGAATTGATTCAAAAGTGCATAATATGTCCAAATATTTTATTGCTGTCCAAACATTTGATGTGATAAAATGTGTTTTCACACCCCTATCTAAATGATTAGTTCATGACAGCATTCTCGCACATGAAAATAAATGCTAAATGTAGCGGTGGTAAACAGGTGGGTACCAGACCAATGATCACAATACATGATCACGCATCAGATCCAAATAAATGCGTTGAACTTAAATTTACAGTAGGATTGTTTACCTTAAATTTGGTAAGATGGTTGTCTCGGATTGGGTCTCTGTACAGACAGCTCCAACAGCTCCCCATAGCTTCAGCAGGCCAGCTGAAACCTGACACAGAGACAAAACTCATCATCAACTGCCACCATTATCAGCAACTTAATGCCAGTTATCCATCCCAGAAAGCACTGAATGTGCAGCTTCAGGGAACAGGCACACACAAACTTCTTACTTAGTCCAGGCCATCAGTTTAAAGGGATTTACGGATCAATCCCAGGATCTTCGACTGGGCATCGTCGTTACAAGCCAGTTAGATTGTTGGACAGACATCTTCAAGAGAAGCTTCATGTTCTCCCCCCTAAAACCGTCAAAACAATTCTGCATTAGCCAAATGTACAAATACTAAATGTGTATCTTATTTTGCAAGACTATAGGTGGACACAGGGAATCCTGAACCTGTTGCATATCATCATTCCTCTTTCTCACCTATTTTACAATGTTCCTTACCTCTCTCCTATCGGATGTCAAAATACGAAAAATGATCATTAGAACAATAGCCTATCGTTTTCTTTTTTTGAATAGCCTACGGTGACTTTTTTCACAAGTGATTTATGGCAATAACAAACTATGTATTTGCATTTTTAAATGAATGAAACAAAAAAGAGCGGAATATCAGGACACATTTTCAAAACAATCTTACACACTGTGTTTTGATCTCTAAAAAACTAAAACACACACACAACAACATCTCATGTATCCTTTGCCACACCAATGACTATCCTGTGATTTATAAATCTCCTGGCCACTCGGCTCACAGAGCTATTCAAACTGATTTCAGATCAACACCGCCGCATTATGTGTGCTCTAACCTGGGCCTCCCTCCACATCTGACTGGAGATGCCAGGCAGGACTCCACACCACCAATTCACAGCTACCTTCAATCAATGTAGAAAACAAAAATAAGAATGGGATAGTTTACAGTACACACACTTATCACACAGCCCAGTGATTAAATGGGCTTTCCCTCTATCTGGGCTATTTACAGCACGAAAATCACAGCGTTTGGCTCAATTAGCCAAGCCGACGCAGAGCCCCCCAAAACAATCCGCCAGCGAGGCTCCATCTGCGGCGTCAGAGTGCGGGGAGCCCGGCTCAGCCACCGTGGAAGCAGCACACTGACACTAAATGCACAACAACACGATTCAATTACCATTTGTTCGCATTGGTGTAAGGATACAATAGCGTGTGAGCACATAGCAATCAGGACGACAGCGATGGTTTGCTACTCACATGTCTGGCACGGATTTTATATTAGCCTAATGCGAAATAAGCATTGAGACTGCGATTAGGAATCGGCGGCGGCTGCTGCTTCTGCTGCTGCTGGTAGCGGGATGTGGCACTTGCACGGCAGAGACGCGGATAAAAGATGCAGTGAGAGCAGTACAAAAATGTTGTTATTTTTTCCTCCTATTACGCCCCCCTACTGCAGCACGGGCCTCTGCCTGTATGACATTTCCCAAGCAGCTGGGGTGAGAGTTCACCGCCAGACAACGAGGCTGAGAGCCGACAAGAAGGTAGGAAACGCTGGAGGACCAGAGAGGAAAGGTGTGCCTGGCTCACTGGAGGAGGGGCGAAACAGCAACAGAGAACTGTGGGGAAATAGCCCCTCTCTCTGCCCGTGGTTTAACTGTAAATATAATCCCCTCATGAGTGTGTGCATTATATTTTTGATTCAAAGCTTTCTCTCTTAATAAAAATCTTTCCCACTTAAAATTAGGTTTTGCATATTTCTGACCTTCACTATAAGTGTTTGATGTAAAAGGCTGGTTTCCCAAGGAAATGTTTTTTTATTACCCAAAGCAACATCTGTCCCATCTCAACACCATTTAAGTCAAACAACTCTGCCCACTTCTGGTTTAAAGTCATGAGAAAACTATGTGACATTTTATATTTGTTCCTCCCTGTATGAGTCATTATTGCACTGCTCAGAGACATCTCTGCTCTACAACTTTCCATACACTTCAAAGCTTTCTCATTCATTTAACTTATCAAGATAAAATGTACAGGTTGTTTTTCTTTTAACGACAATATTCCTTAATTTCAAAAGCTTTCGTTAAAATAACCATGTAAAGTTTATTTGTTTATGTTCGTAAGGACTAGTATCAGAATCAGAATTGTATTGCAGTGGGTTTCACGTGGTTGGATGTATTGATGCCTAACTTAAACTAATTGATGAAATAAAAAAAAATCAAGATACACAATCAAGAAACAATGAATATGGATATATATAAAAAAAGAATATGCAATGTACAGAAATATAGTCACAATATGTACGATAATCTAACAAACATATGTGAATATGTAGACAATATGTGTTTTTAAATAAGCAAGAACGAGTATGTTCACAGTGTGGTTTTGGTGATTTCCCTAACGCTCTTCTTCCACCACTGCTTAACTCTGGATTAACTGTTTTGTACACCTAAAGCAAAATAATTTAGTTGCAAAATAAATATTATTGCCAAATGTTATTCTTCCTTTAGTGATGCCTCAACAGGAAGAAAAGTTGATTCACTAACAGAGTTTTACTTGAAATTTAAACAAATAACACACTCAAAGAAAATTGTTTCGTCAATTAAAGCCTTGATGCATTTGTCATGGGTTTGTCAACCGGTTGATCTTGATTTTCTAATAGGTTTTTAATACTTTAAATGTGTTTAATCCAGCAACCAATCATTACTATCAAGTATACTGTAGTGTTACATATTCTCAATCATTTGATATTTCTATGACGCTGCATAGGTAACAGATGAATCGTTTAATAAAAATACACATTTTGCAATACTATCTTATTTCAATGAATTTGTTCTTGAGACACTTGTCTTTATTGGACTGAATTAATTGTATTGTTCGTGTGAAGGGGCTCACTGTGAACAGGAGACTAAGAATCCTGCACACCTGGTCGTTAAAAAATCACTGAATTTAGATTTGTATCTTCTTAAAAGTAATTAGTAAATAAAGAAGAGCAAACCGGAATATGTTCCTCCATTTCCTTAAAATGTACACTTGATTGTTGCTTTTAAATGGTCTATTGTTTTTATGGCTGGTAATATTTTATTCACGATTACTTTAGTTTTTACCTTTTTTATTTGTATTTTTACTTATTTTACGGTTTGTGACTGGAGCTGTGTGATTTTTGTCATTTCTTTCTTTCTTTCTCTGTACAGCAATTTGGTCTTAAAGGTCCCATGCAGTGGCGTAACAAGGTTGTGATTGGCCCGGTGCAAATATTATTTTGGGGCCACCCCCCTCCATCGCCCCAAACATAAGCGCACGCTGATGCGCTCACACACGCACGGACATACACAACCACTCAGAAGCGCCACATGTATCAGGTTCAGGTTCAGGTTCAGGTTCAGGTTCAGGTTATTTATTTGTACCCGTAGGTAGATTCTGTTTTCAGAGAAAAAGACAAGGGTTCCATCCTGACACTAAAAATAAACACAAACAACAGACACATCTCTAATAAAGGACTAGTAAAAGTACAAGTACAAGTATACCCTGCTCAACCAAATCTCAAAATATTAAAAAAAAAAAAACATTTTAAGAAGGAAAAACACTAGTACAAACATGGACATTCAAAATTCACAATTAAATAAATAAATAAAAATAGGCATCTGTGTGATGCTCCTATGATGTGTTAATTTGTGCAATAGCTGCTGGGATAAAACTGTTTTTATACCGCTTCGTTCTACTCCTTGGGACAAGTAACCTCCGGCCCGAAGGAAGAAGCTTGAATTCTGAGTGCAGAGGGTGGGAGTCATCGTCTAATATGGAGCTGGATAACCGCTGTAACTGCCTGAGGTACAGGGTCTCCAGGTTTAGCTGTGGCTCACCAATCAGTCTGCTGGACCACTTTATGATCTGACTCAGAGAGTTTCTGCTCTTTAAAGTCAGGTTACCAAACCATGACATTAGTGAAAAAGACAGAATTGACTCGATAAAAGCACGATAAAACATGATCATCATGGTTTTGTCAATGTTAAAATAGGACAATTTCCTAAGACAGTACAAACGCTGGTGCCCCCTTTTGCACACAGCCTCACAGTTTGGATCAGAGCTCAATTTTGAGTCAATAATTGTCCCGAGATATTTGTATGATTGCACAAATTCTACTTTCTGATTCTGGATTGTTAAGACTTCATGTATGTGGGGATGTCTTCTAAAATCAATGATCATGTCCTTGGTTTTGCTTATGTTCAGTTGTAGATAGGACTCCTCACACCACCTGACAAAGTCATCAATGACAGGGCCGTGGCTGGTCTCATTGTCCTGGAGCCTACTAACAATTACAGAGTCATCTGCATACTTTAAAATAGTCCTATTTTCCCACCTACTTTGACACATGTTAGTGTAAAGTATAAATAATAGTGGTGAAAGGACACATCCTTGTGGGGAGCCAGTGGAGGAGCGGACTTGATCAGATAAGGTCCCATTCACCCTCACTCTTTGTGTCCTATTGGTTAAAAAATTAAGAATCCAGCCCATAAGATTATTGCTTATTTCAAATTGTTCTAAAAGTCTGCCAATTAGAATATGAGGTTGAATTGTGTTAAAAGCAGAGGAAAAATCAACAAATAAAAGTCTAGCATGAGATCCAATTCCCTCCAAGTGTTTAAAAAGTAAGTCAGATAAGGTGACCGTGGCATCCTCCACTCCTCTGTGTGGCCTGTAAGCAAACTGCATGGGATCGAGTGCATGCTCAGTCTTCCTTAACATTTCTGCTCTGACTAGTTTTTCCAATGTCTTCATTAGAATGTATGTCAGTGCAACTGGTCTAAAATTGTTAAGAGTTTTTGGGCCTCTGGATTTGGGGACAGGGACTACCACAGCATCCTTCCAAACCTTTGGCACATGCTGTGTCTGTAAAGACATATTAAAAATGTAGTGGAACACAGGGCTAAGTTCTTTTGAGCAAAGTTTAAGTAAACGACCGCAGATGTTGTCAGGTCCATGACTCTTATTTATTTTTACTAAACGAAAGGCCTTTTCCACTTCCCTCTGATCTATGTTAAAATGCTTATTGTCTTCAAGTTTGAGCTTCAGTTCAGATATATTATTACTGAAATCAAATGTGTCAAATCGAGAAAAAAAGTGATTTAGGGCATTTGCAAACTCAACATCTTAATTAAAGCCATCCAGAGTCACATGGCAGCTATTCTTTGTTTCCCGGAGGCCTGTTATGGTTTTCATGCTACTCCAGACTGAGCCAAGGTTGTTTGCAGCCATTTTGTTTTGTAGTTCAGATTTAAAATTCTGTTTAGCTTTCAGAATTTCTATTTTAAGTTCCCTATTAGCATCATGCAGATCAGAGGCACTTCCCTGTTTAAAAGCTTGTTTCTTTTTCTGAATGCTGGACTTAACCGCCTTGGTCACCCATGGTTTGTTATTAGGGTATATTTTAACTTGTTTACACGGAATAATCATGTCTTTACAAAAGGCTGTATATGAGCATGTTACATCAACAACTTCATCCAAGTCGGCACCACAAGACTCTTTGAACATATCCCAATCAGTGCAGTCATAACATTCCTGCAAACAGGCTATAGATTCTTCTGTCCAGACATTTATGTCCTTTGTCAATGTTTTCTCTCGCTTCAAAACTGTAGTGTATATGGGCAGTAAATGCACACAGTTATGATCAGCAGAGCCCAGTGGGGGTAATGGGACTGACTTATAGGCTTCCTTTACTGACCCATAACACAGGTCTAATGTTTTATCCCGCCTGGTTGGACAGGAGACATATTGATAAAAGTTAGTGAGTGTCTTTTTAAGGGTCACATGGTTAAAATCCCCAAGTATAAAGTTTGGTGCGTCAGGTGAAATTGACTGCAGTTTTTGCACCAAATCAAAGATAGTGCTGGAGGCAGAGGTGGCATTTGCCCTGGGATGGATGTACACTATTGTTATAAAAACTTGGGGAAACTCACGGGGCAGGTAGAAGGGACGCAATGAAACAGATAAAAGTTCAACATCTGGGGTGCAAATGCGTTCTCTGACAGTCACAGAGCTACAGTACTGTTTGTTTACGTACAAACATACTCCGCCCCCTTGAGTTTTTCCTGTCACTTCTGCCTTTCGATCCAGACGAAAGGGAGCTCCAAAACCGTCAATAAACAGATCGTTGTCCTGGTTACAGTCTGTGAGCCATGTCTCAGTGAAGGCCAAAACACAGCAGTCCCTGAAATTCTTCTGAAACCGAACACTACCCTGAAGCTCGTCAACATTGTTCCTCAGCGATTGAACGTTCCCCCACTGATTCGCTAGCTGAATAGCCAATCAGAGTGATTGTTTGGTCCGACTGCCAGACCCGATGCATGGCCGATTCATGTTGAATCGGCCATGCATCGGGTCTGGCAGTCCAAATAAGGCGTGTCACGGTCGACGGTTCGGGACACACCAAATTGAGTTTGGGCGACAGGACACGCTTCGTCTCCCGACTTACGAAAACAGCCGAAATCGGCCTGGTGTGTCAGGGCCTTTACGCCGCCGCGTTTACCCCGCTTCCTCCTCTG